TGATGTCGTCTGAACTGATTCAGTGTTTTTCTTCCTGTTGAAACTTCAGCTCCGTTACCGTAACGACAGCATCATGTCCATCGTCCCAGAGCCTCCCGAGAAGGCATCGCTGTACAGACGAGAGAGGGAGAAAGAAAACGACTTCCCGCTCCGCAGGTACAGCTCGCTTATTTTTACTGCAGGTCGTTATGATCCCACCAGTTTTCATTGAATTTGATTTGATTTATTTCTCATTTCCTGAAGCGAGAGCAAACAAAATACAGTGTTTTCTGTTTTCTTTGTAGTCTCTCTGACTTCGATAGTGACAACATGGAAATGGAGTGTGGTAATGTGCTTTTATGTAATGTTCAGAAATAACACAGATGATAAATTTGATGTTAGTGCTCTAAAAAACATCTTTTCAAAGTTAATATCTTGATTGATCTCTCTCTCTCTGTGTGTGTGTGTGTGTGTGTGTGTGTGTGTGTGTTGATTTTCGTTGCTTTGCCTCAGAAGATGGCCCTAACTCTGTGATCTCGTCGTCATCCTCCCATCAATCAGAGGGAATGGACACGTACGATCTGGAGCAGGTCAACAATATCTTCAGGAAGTTCTCTTTGGAGAGGTATTCTGCAACTTTCCATCGACCGTAATTAAAAAAATAAATTAAAAAAATGCCCCACATTCTCCCACTGACAACCCCCTCTTTTCTGTGTCGGTGGACGCACAGGCCGTTTCGCCCGTCTCTGTCCTCCTTCTCCAGAATCAGCTCCACCATCAAGCCGGTGCAGGAGGTGGCGCTGCAAGGCGACAACCTCTTGAAGGACGTCATGCTGGTCGGTGGCAACGAGAGCGGGATTTTCATCTCGTCGGTTCAGGCTGGGTCCAACGCCGAGAGAGCAGGGCTGCGAGAAGGCCACCACCTCTTGCTGGTAAGAAGTTAATTTCCATTCTGAAAGTTAAATGAGTCAAATATGAGGTGAAAATCTTTTACCTCATCAAGGATTTATTCTGAAACATCTCAAACCAAGTTAAAGTGGAATTACTTGGTTGTAGTTTCTGACCTTTGTTTATTCTGTGATCGACTAACCAGCTGGAGGGATCCGTAAGAGGGGAGAACCAGAGCCTTTCCCTGGACACCAGCACTCAGGAAGAAGCCCACTGGACGTTGCAGCACTGCTCCGGACCAATCAAGCTGCACTATCGAGCCAGTTTTGACTGTAAGTCATTTTTATTGCTGTAGAAGCTTAAATAAACGGCAGCTGGCTTTAAGAAGAGAGTGCAGCGGTACGTGTGTTTGTGTCGGATCGACACGGTAACGGCATCCCCTCGCGGTGAGTCACAGCCAACGACCGTTTAGATTCAGAAGAGGATGCAAATGTGTTTTTGTTGCTATGTTTTGTTTTTTCTGTGACGGAAAACGAGTCAGTGACGTTACTGTCCAAAGCACTCCACGCCAAACTAATGCAAGAATCTCTCTTTATGCAACATCATTTTTATTACATCCACCATCAATGAACCATTAGCCACAAGTTCAGTCACCTGGTTCTTAATAAGCGCCACCTAGAGCTCAAACTCTAGCTGGAAACAGTTGAAATGGTGCAGGCAAAGGAGTGAGGTGGAAAATTACTACAAGCTAACATCAGCTGACCATGTTATATGAAATTCTTGTGAACTCTCACCAAAAGAACTATTTGGGTTACATGTACAAGGCTGGGAGTTGTTTCCCACAGCTGCATCAGAGCCAGACTGTCTCGCCCCTTGTTTTGAATCCCTGGTATAAACTCAAGTGTTGTCTCTGCCTGGCAGAGCTTTTTCACCCAGACCTGCTTTGTTATTGATTGTCCTACAAGCTCTCTGCATTGTGCACAGTATATGAATAAACCTGATTGAGCGATTTCACCTGACAGTGCTTGGTAAAATAGTTTTTTTTTTTTTTTTTTTTCACAACAGAAGAAAAGCTTTTCAGTTCAAGAAACATGCCGTTGTGTTGGTTGATTTTATGGCCTGTTTGTACGGTTTAGGTACAACTAAGAAACAGAGACGAAATAGCATGATTCAGATACAAAATGGAATCACAAATTGGTTAAATGGTGAGCCGGCCTGGAAACATTTAGAAAACAAACCGAGCTTTTGGCGCATCCTTTGGGTTTTAGTATGTTTCTTGGTTTTTGGGCTTCATATTAAATAAGCCACATGCCCGTTCTCCAGCTTATCGTCGGCTCCAGAGCAACCTGTCCGACGGCACGCTGGCGTCTGGAGACTCCTTCTACATCCGAGTCAACCTGAACATCTGCGGACAGTCGGACAGCTGCTCCCTGAACGTGCGCTGCGACGAGGTGGTGCACGTTCTGGACACCAGGCACCAGGGCCGCTGCGAGTGGCTGTGCGCCCGCGTCGACCCCTACAGCGGAACGGACCTGGCCGAGCGCGGCACCATACCCAGCAACTCGCGGTAGGACTCAGAGTTAGACGCTTTCAGGCAGTCTGAAAGGTGCAGAGCAGAGCTTTGTGTGGCGCTTTGGTTCAAGAGAGTGAAGATTTCTCACATTGTCTGTTCGATTGAAAAATCTGTAGCAGGAATCGATGGTTATGACTAAATATTTCTCACGTCCCGTGGAAAACTTTTCAAGATAATCCTATTGCAATAAATAGATTAATCGGATGATCAATTAAATTTCTTTGCACTAGCCTTTTTCTAGAAGGGCAGTTTTGTTTCCTGGAACTACAGAATCCATTTTATTTGTCGTTTTAATTGTTTTATCTATTTTAGGTATTTAAAATATCTTCCTGTTCTAGTGTCAAATCTTCATTAGAAAGTTTATTGATCTTGAAGAGGGTCTACTCTCATTTTATGCTATCAACACTGCATTACTTGAAAATGGACTCAAAAGCTATTATTATTATTATTATTATTTTTTTTTTATTATTATTATTATTAATATCATCGTGCAGCAACAATTAATCATCCAGCAAAATTAGTCATCATGACAGGCCTGCTTAAATATTTGAGATTTTTTTTTCCAACTGTTTCAAATTATTTTACAAAAATGACTCATGTGAATTTAAGAAGCATTTTTCTAACAACGAACCGAAACGATGACGTGAAAATGTAACGGCCTCCTTTGCTGAATCACAAATTAAGTGATTTGCTTGAGTTTCACAAGCCACAGAAGAAACCCCTTCAGCAGAACCGACCTCTACTTTCTCACCGCTCTGCTTTGTTTTCAGCGCTGATTTAAATCCTTGCATCTTTGGAGCTTTACGAGTGTTTTTTTTGTGTGACTGCAGAGCTCAGCAGCTGCTGCTGGTAAAGATTCAGAAGTTCGTCTGTCGAGGAGGGAAGGAAGAAAATGAAGGCCACCGCACCAGCAGGGTGAGGATCCACCAGATGTATCTCTTTAGCTGTCGCTCAGAGACGACAACAAACTAACAACAAAGTAATAATTTAAGTCTGATTTAAGTTTAGTTTATTTGTATGACATAATGGCCAAACAAGCAACATTCATCATCAAATATATTAATCAATGTTCCAGTTATTTTTAACCTAAGCTGGGACTTAAACCTTGATTTAATGGACCCTGGTGTTTTCCGCAGTTTTGCAGTTTTCTGAACGTTTGTTCCAGATTAGAGGAACATAGAAGCTGAATGCTGCTTCTCCATGTTTGGTTCTGGTTCTGGAGATGCAGAGCAGAAACAGAACCAGAAGACATGAGTGGCCTGTAAAGTTGATACCATGACAACAGGTCTTTAATGCACATTTTGGTGCAAAGCTGTTCAGTGATAAGTAAATTAGCAGAAGTGAATTAACAGAAGTAGGTGGAGTAGGTCTATTTTCTTATGTGTCTGAACATTGCTTAATAGCTTCCTGTGGAAATGTTACAGCAGGAAAGGCAAAGAAGAAGCAAATTTGGCAAAGTAGTGCACAAAAAGCTATAAATAAGATATTCAGAATTTAAATTTTGACCCATTTTATTTTGCCATTTTTAGACCTTGTTGTTTAAAGCCGAAGTATTCTAGATTTAGTTGGATGCTATTCGGCAGATCATGAATTAAAAGATGAACGACTTAATTGTTTTTTTTTTTAATCTCACCCAAATTGTGTCTTTTCTCAAATGTTTAAGCTGCTCAGAGAATTATGAAACTTTTCCAGATCTAAAAATGTCAAACTTTTGACACCATGTACATTTTCAGACTGAACTCTGACAATCTGCAGCGTCTTTACTAAAATCTTTCTTGCATCCCAGTCTCTTTTTTTTTTTTTTTGCACCACATCTTTACTGTGTCGTTTATCAATACTGATTATTTGTTATTTATTGTGTTATGATGCTGTGTGCCTAGGCAAGCAGCTTACAGCCAGAAGAGGCCGGCTCCCCTCCTGATATTAAGGCCAGCCCTCGCTTGTCCAGAGCCAGTATCTTCCTCAATCAGATCCTGCAGGTAATAAAGTCCAAACACGTCTGGTGCTGACAGTATGACGAGGTTTTATGTTTTTTTTTGTGTGTGTTTTTTTTTTTACAAATAAAAAATCTGGAAATCTTGCTACAGATTCTGAAAAAGATTCAGGTTTGTACTTTTGAGCATTGCAGCTCTGCTCTAAACACGTTTCTTTCTCAGACTGCCATGCATTTAGCGCCGTCCATTTTTCTAGCTTCAGTGTCTCTACTGAAGGAAAGCATGATGCTTCCACCACCGTGTTTCGCCATTGGGAGCGCGTTCGCTGTGACGCTGCGCCTTAGTTTCCCATCAGTCACGGTGGTTTGCATGTCAGCTAAAAGGTTCAACCTGAGAACGTTTTTCTTTGATTCAATCTCTCGTCTAGATTTAGGCTGAGATTAAATCGCCAAATTGTCTGCTCTAGATTTTATCTGGCGGCATCAAAGTGAAGGCAGCTGGTTGTAAAATGAACCTGGAGCAGAAACAGTTTTCCCCTAAAAAGAAACGCCGTCAGACTAACCGCTGCCTTCTGTCACTCCAGTTTGTCAGCAGGGTGGATATCAAGTACAAGCGCCTGAACAGCAACGAGCGCGTGAGGATCATCAACACTTGCAGTGCAACACTAGCGAGGCAAAGCTTCGAGCTGCTCAGACAAGAAGGTGAGCGGACGAGCCGACACTTCTTCAGCAGCAACAAGGAAACTGAAGCGATTGTGAAGAGTCACACTGAAGCCGCCTGAACTCCGTCTAAGGTCACGATTTAAGATTAGATGCTGTGAGGACTGATGTTAGAAGTTGTAACCACATAAAGAAGCTTCAGTGTGAATTTATGCTTTGGGTTTTTTTTCTCTTTTCTTTTCTTTTTTTTGTCACTTAATATGAAAAGGCGGCACCGCTCTAAAAGGAGCAGAAGGGTTAGATAAATAAAAAAGGAAGTGGAAGTTCAGCAAGGGTGCTTAGACAGACGCAAGTCATCTCAGGCCCAAGCTGGTGTTGATACAGAACGATGAAGACGAAGCCGTTTCGAAAGTCAGAATGTGTTACTCTAAAAGACAAACAGACAAACAAAAAAAACAGACAATGAATGATGAACAAGGGGTGTATCGCGGAGTCAGTGGAAGCTGAACTTTCACAACATTCAGATAAAAAACAAAAAGAGAGAGAGAGAGGTAACCATGACAACAAAGCTCTGAATAGCAGAAACACCCACTCGGAGGAGGAAGAAAGCGGACTCCATTCATCTTGGTGAGATGAAATGGAGTCCGAGGGTCAAAATGGAGGACATGTTTCAGGGACTTGAGCAGTTCTGGCGATTACGTTGAAACACAGCAGAGAAGTGGGGAGATTTGAAGATAAATACCAGAAACATTGTGGAAAGACAAATTAATGTGCTTAGGGTGTAAAGTAAATTCATCAGATTAAGACTTTCAGTACTTTTATACCAATATTAATTTGCCTTACCGTTTAAAAAAATAACTATTTTGATGTTCTTTTGGATCAATTTGAAAAGCTGGGTTGCATTTACGTTTTAACCGGCTGAAAAGTAAAGGTGACGGTAAATTTGGAGGGAGTTGTTCCTCTCCATATATAGAAAGATAGCCCCACAGCATGATACTGCCACAACCATGATGCAGCTTTTAAGTTGAAGGCTGTCGATCTGGCAGTGCAGATCGACAGCCGCTAAGCTCGGCGTGAATGAATCCATGGTTGGGCGTTGGAGACGCAGGGCTGCGTCCTTAATAGATCCAGCAGATTTATTAAAAACCGAGAGTGGCGGAGATACCAGCGGCTTATAGCCCGGTGCGGCTTATCTATGTACGTTTCCAGTTTGTTTTTATTTTTTTAAAAAGAAAACTTTGTAGATGCAGCTTATAGTGAGGTGCGCTCTACAGTCCGGAAAATACGGTAATTACATTTAAAACACTGCTTTGGACACAACATGAGCGAATGCACTCACTGAACGTCAGATTGGAAGTGTTGTTATAAGTGTTTGCCGTTCCAAAGATTGAAGGAATTAAAAAAAATAATGATGAAGCGCTTTCACTGAGGTAGAGAGAGAAGCAGGAAGAGGTGGCACCTTTGTAAAATCTGACTGAACAAAGCTACATTAAAAAGGATGTGTAAAAAATAGCTATAGTGACATCAGTTAGAGCAGCGGAGGCCTTTTTATGCAAAAGAACAAAGAGAGACAGCTCACTTCTGAACCAGTTCTGAAACAGGGTTGCAACACTAGGAGGGTTAAAAGAATGAGACTTTCTATGCAATCAGTTTCTTTAATCCAAGAAATCTCCTGACGCAAAGTTGTGAATATTGTGAAAGAACATCATACAATCATAAATCCTAAAAAGACAATCCTGATCAGAACGGATGTCCAGACCGAACAGTGAAGCACGAGAACGGTGCTTTCATGATAAAACATTTAAATATGGCAGTATGACTTTCAGTCTGCAAACAAAGAATCAGGCTTGATTATTGTGACTAGTTTCAAAGCCATTGCCCCCAAATGGCATAAATTCATTGCAAATGTTAAATAGCAAGAATGAAAGAGAAAGCTGGCACGAGGCAGCAGAGCAAGGAACGGAAAGCAGCCAGAGAGGGACAGCGTTTTGTAAAGAACAACAAAACCCACATAAACGCGTAACACAATGGCCACATTGAGACAAAAGTAGGTGGCTATGTACTCAGCTCGAATGTGAGTTTATAGGGCAAAGATAAAGAATAGCGATCTGTCCATTGAAGAGAGGAAGTCAGGAGAAAGGTTATCTGAGAGCATTGCTTGTTTCAGGCTTTACAGAGCTCATGCAAACACTATGTATGTTGTTTACCTGTTATCCACCAATGAGGAGAAAAACTCAATATCCAGATTTACATTGTGATTTTTGCTCCTATTCTGACCAGCAGTGATATTCCAAGATTTAGCTTTTATACTAACGAGTGTTTCTCTAGAATAGCTCATTTCGTATGAGCAGCAGTGAATGGAAGCAGCTGAAAGTCTCACTTTCCTACATGTTCATTTTTGTCTGTGTTCAGAATATTTGTTTGTGTGTTGCATTAGTATTTGGAGAACATCTGTTGTTCTATTTAAATTTTCTGAATGGGTCCACAGTGATTTTCTCACTTTCGTTTTGGGTCTTAAAAGTCACTTTATTTAGTGGGTGGAAGGCGAAGTAAAATACTGCCATGAATCGTGATAAAAACTTTATGCTCACAAACATCACCTTGTTGCTATGGCTGCTGAATCAGCTCCAGCTGTCTGTCATTATCATGACATGAACTATGTTTGTGTTTTCCTCCATCGGGATTAGGTAGACAAGTCTAATATTTTATAAGACTGAGATAAAATGTGTCGAACTAAGAGACTGTTTTTGGTCACTTTCACAGTTCCTTCCCATTTTTCCTTAAAAGAAGATATTTGGGGAAAGTAAAAGTGCTCACTCTGTCCTTTACTGCCCCAGTAATGACGAAGCATTTTGCGTTTAACACGTCAAATTACTGTTTAAATGTTTAACCAATATTGAAACAAGTTTAAGTCATTTCAAAAGTTCACTGAAAAGACTTAAGTTTCTACAAGTCAGTGACCCGATGCAATCCTTAGATAAAAACGTTTTAACTGCTTTCAATAATTAACTCATTGATAAGTAGGATCAATTGGAATGTATGTGTGATTGAATTGAAGTTTTTTTTTTTTTTTTGCAAAGTGCATCGAGACAACACATGCTGTGAATTGGCGCTAGGAATTGATTTGAATAGAATGGATTGAAATCAAGTAGCAGAAAAGAAATATTTATTTTATTGTTATGAGACTGCAAGCAACAATTATTGGAGTCCTACGAAATTACTCAGCTTCACAAAACGATGCAAAGGCAAACTGTGATTGCAAACGGCTTTTCCTTGTAAAAACATTGTGTTTCATTGCACGCCTCTCTCTTTTGTGCTTGTGCGTCGTCTATGAGCAGACGCTGCTGACCCCGACAACGAACTGAGCAGAAGCTTGAACCTGATCCCTTACAGTCCCGTCACGCCTCAGCGGACCCAAAGGCGAAGACCGGTTCTCTTCACTCCGGCCGCACTGGCCAAGACCATCATCCAGAAAATACTGAACATGGGCGCAGCCATGGACTTTAACATCTGCAAACCAGGTTAGTGTCTGATAAACAGCATGCAGTATGAGTCTTTGTAAGAAATGTCACTTGATTATCTGTGAAGGGATTTTTTTTTTACCCTACTTTGGGTGTAATGCCAGTGTGTTGCTGCCAGTATGATGCGTGGGTGAATGCTAGAGAAAAAGAAACCTACCGTGGGGATTTAACTCGTGTGTTGTGCTGCACTGTGATGAAAAAGTGAAGAAGTGTAACCAGAGACAAAAAAATGGGCAGCACAGAAGATGGCCTAGTTGATAACCAGGGTGACGATGCACTGCAGTGACAATGACACAGATATTTTAGACGCCACGCTCACGCCTCACTGTAAAAAAATTGTTGTTGGCCCTTAGAGAATTCGCGCCCCTGTCCCGAGGGGAGGGGGGCGTCAGGCAAGTTATCGGTGAAGGTTGAACATCTGGCGAGTCAAGAGTCTGTTATGTGACTTTCTGACGTGGAGAGTCCCCAGGGCGAAAACCTCAACTTTCTGTTCCTTGTGATAGATGATGCCGTGCAGCGGCGTAGCAAATGAGCTCGGTGTGAATGCGTCCCGTTGTGAGCTCCACAAACTAACACGACATTTCACGTTTCCCCCTCGCCTTTTCGTTTTGCTCTCCATGTCCAGATACCCTAACCAAGGAGGAGTTTCATCTGAAACAGAACATTGAGCCCTTCATTCACTACAAGGAGAAGCAGGCCACATTCGAATGTATCACCCGAGAAAACATCGAAGCCGTCGCTGCCAAGGTTGGTGTTTGTCCGATCTGCATTTGGTGCCTTCAGGAAGTAGGTTGAGATTATTAAAATGTCTTAAACTGACTTTAAAGAGGCAGTATTATGCAAAATTGACTTTACACATGTTGTAATGTTATTTTCTCATCAAAAACATACTTCTCTTTCATGCATGTTTGAGAAATCCTTTAATCTCCCGTGGCAACCACTCCCTCGCAACTTCCCCATCCGGCTCCTTCAGACTAGCCAGCAGCAATTAGCAAACATCTGGAGGAACTGAGCATCAGCTGGGCTCGTTATGGGAGACGCTTCTCAGAGCAACGCTGGTAAAAACGTTGTTGGAGGGTTAATAGAGGAGCAATGCTGTGATGACTTCCTGCAGGAGGAGTTTCAGAACGAGCAGGAGTTTTTAAAGAGACAGAGACCCAATTTCAAGGTGTTAATTTACAAAGTCAAATTTTTCTTAAGTCATATTTGATATACGACATTTTTATAACAATTGAAGGTAGCATAGTTACTTTATAACATTGAAGTAACTACCAGTGGTAGGTGCCTGGAAAGTACCTAATATTGCCCCTTTATAAAAGTAAGGAGTAGTTAATCATTTTGTCCTGGCAGGACTATTTAATCATGGATATTCCATGTATTGTTTTTTTTTTGCGGGACTGTTTTTTTTATTTTTTTTATTTCTGCCATATATAAGTGCAAATTTATCGCCACTTGGCTGGACGAAGTTCATACATTTCTTTGCTAATGGTCTTAAAAATGTCTGAAGGAGTCTTAAATTTGAATTGTTGAAACCATCCAGAAATCGTGTTAATGTCATTACTATATGTTTTCAGGCAGGCTTGTACAAAACACTATGAAATGAAACTATATTTTTGCATCAATGATGAGTTTGGAAGATAGAATACCTTGTGTATTTATGCAAGTTGTAAACATTTTTCAGATATAAACAGGAGTTTCTTTGATTCTTTGAATCGGTAAACCAAGAAAGCCCATAGGTCACGAGATAGGTCACAACGAGTGACGGACACAGGTTACAATCACTCTTTGTTTTATTAAACAATAAAAAAATAAAAAATAAATGTAGGAAACTCCAGAGAGGAGACGGTCTAAATTAATTAATTATTAAAATTTTACTTCCGCGTGGAGCCAAAGGGATGTTAGCCCCTCACTGTGATGCAAAAAGTGTCATGGAGGCTGGTTTGTGTTTTGAAGACTCCTAGTTGACACTAAGCTAAATGGATACTTCAAAGGCTTTAAGGAATCGGGACGGTATTTGATCTGTTTTTTAGTTTAGAGTAGGACTTCCTTTCTCCAACACCATGAACTTTCTCAGGGGCATATTTGGAGGTCAAGTCATATCAGCTTCTAGTTGATGTCATGCTGCTCAAAAGGCTCTTTATTGTAAATATATTTTCCTCCTTTTTAAAAGAAGGAACAGGGGGCTTTCAGAACAAATGTCAAACAAGACACTTGGTCTGCCGTGGCTGATTGAACAGAGATTACTTCTTAGTACTTATTTCATGGAATGGTCCTAAACGTCAACGAGTCTTTTACGACAGCTGCGTCAGCTCACCACAAGAGTGGAGGACTGGCTTTACGGCGCGCCGCGCTGCGCTCCCTCGCTGGCCTTCCTGTTAAAGAAAACACAAACTTTCACACGTACAACGTGCGCGCGAAGACTACAACACCCTCACGCACGAAGCTGCGAACCAGTGAACCAGCACCTCCTAACATTTACAGACAGATTAAATGCACGTCGTTTGCCACCGCTCCTGTAGACTTGTTTTCAAGCCTGGTTTCCTCTCTACCCATCTTCAGGGTAAACACTGCCTGCTGGAGGCCGAGCTGAGCTGCGTCAAGGACCTTCTGCGGCGAGAAATCTACCCCATTATCGTTTATGTCAAGATCTGTGAGAAAAATGTCAAGAAGCTAAGGTAAGTGGAGCACAAAACGCTCCACCTGTGCAGTGAAACCTATTTTTTCCAAATCCAAACACATGTCAGTTCTTGTAATGAGCTAATGTTTCCACGCTGGAGGTTAGACAGAACACACTCTGACGACTCTGTTTCATGCTTTCTGTTTGAGCTACCTGGAAAGATGAAGCAGATAAAACAAATGGGCAACCATTTCTTAAAAAAAAAAAAAAACACAAAAAAACACTGCCTGTCAGGTCTGTTCTGTGGTTTCTGCTGTTTCTAAGTAAAATTACCAAAAGATTCTGACGTGTCTCTGGGTGGATTCTGTGACGTCTTTGAATTAGACAGGCCGCTGCAGCTCTACACGATCTCGGCATCAGAGACACTGGGTTCCAAACATTACCGCACTCACCACCGCAATGCTGCTTCCTTCCTGTTTCCTGTCCACACAGGAAGCTGCCTCTGCGCGTGGAGTCGGAGGAGGACTTTGTGAGGTTGTGTCGGGCGAAAGAGAAGGAGCTGGAGGCCATCCCTTGCCTGTACGCCACCCTGGAGCCCGACTCCTGGACGGGGATGGAGGACCTGATAAGGGTCATCAAGGACAGAATTTTGGAGGAGCAGAAGAAGACGATCTGGGTGGAGCAGGACCTGCTGTAGGCCTCCTGTGCGCCAGTCTGTACATTTAAATACGTGTGTAGCTAAATGCAGTAAACCACAAAACTTGTAAATCTACTGTAGCTCTCGTTTTATATTTATAGTCAGACTCAAAGAGACCCAAACAAATGCATTATGTATTTTGTAAAATTGTATTTCAATTTTCTAAAGATAAACGAATTTAAAATCCCTAATGTGAAGATTTTCTTATTAAAAAAAAACATCTGACACAGGATGTGCTGCAGGCAAATGTTTTTTTAGCAGCTCTTGCGGTTAATGGTAGATTTTATCCAAGATTAAACTGCCATCTAGTGGCGAGGTTTGGTCATTACAGAAACAACAGTTAAACCAACCTAGTGAAAAACAGTCATATTCCACAAATTAGAATATCATTGAAAAGTTAAATTACCGCAGTAATTCAGTTCATTTAGTGAAACACATTATATAGATTAATTACACACAGAGTGACTCATTCAAGCATTTTTTTTTCTTTTATGAGGATTTTATGCTTACAAGTA